AGCCTACACACACACACACAAATAAATAAATGAATGTGTGTGTGTGTGTGTGTGTGTACTGGTTTATATATCCTGGTGGGGACTTAAACCTGACTACTATTATTAATTATTTTTGGTTTAATAATTCTAATTTAAATAATATTTTGCAAGTTAACAATGATTTTATAATTTAAATACTCATATTTATTTTACAGTATAATAGTATTTCAATAGTAATATGTTTCTTTATTTTATTAATTTTACCATAATAATAATAATAATAATAAAATATAATTATAAATAATAAAATAAATAAAAATAACAATAAATACTCATAAAATAAATAGTTATTATTATTATTATGATAAAAGAAAACTAATATGATTTCTATCTTTAAAAACTGTTTTTAATATTTTATGCAATATATGAGGTGATGAAAACAATGCATAACAGGAATAACCCGTTTTATGTTCCTAACACCAGTGGAGCGACGGCTCATTGAAAGTCAAAAGCTGACTCCGTTTCCAAAATATTCCTAGGCCTGATTTGTTTTATATAGTCCTGAAATGCATAGCACATTTAAATCGCATACAAGTTCTTTGTGCAAAGCGATGCTCCGTGAAGCCAGCTGCCTGTGTAAATGCTTTGCAGAAACCGGTTGAGGAGTGACTATCACATGGTCTTTTCATTGAAGCGCATGAAGCAGGGCCACACAAAAGAGTCGCAGGACATACAAGAGCAGATAATTATAGCCTGTAGCAGAGGCTCAGACACCCACCCGCGGCCGACTGCATGCGCTCCATCACTACAATCACTGCATTCACAAACACTGCCCTCTCTAATGTGGCATTAACATGCAATCTTGTTACGAACACACACTTTTGTAGATCTGAATTAATTGTAATTTTATTAATTGAATTAATAAAAGCAATAAATCTGATTGAAACATTTGATACAAAAGATTCAATTCACTGAAATTAATCAAAATCTATTCTCCACCTAATTAGATCCGCCCTCTCTCCAAAACCACACCCACCAAAAACACATCAGCCAATCTGATAGAATAAAAAAAACTAACTTGTGAAATGATCGACAGTCAGAAGGACAAAAAATTGCCTACAACTATTTGTAGTGGAGTCGTTTTAGAGCCTAGGACATAGCACAGCCTACACACACACACACAAATAAATAAATGAATGTGTGTGTGTGTGTGTGTGTGTGTGTACTGGTTTATATATCC